TCTTCTCTTTCCGATAACAAAAACAAGTGTCGAGCGTTTTTTTTTATTATTTCGGAGAAACGTGATAAAATAGCAATGAAGTTATTTGATCGCAAAATAGGATCGAATAGGTTATGCCATTTCGTTCAGAAAGAATACATATTTGAAATACATAATGTAATATTAAGATGTCGTTTTATTACCTTATACAATTAAAACATGAATTTTGATATTGAATTTCGATATGTCATTTGACAATGTTGACAACTGTGACAATATATTGCTGACAAATGTCAAGGTAACAATGGAATAATAGAAACTGTACCATTTTTACGGAATATATAAGTGCAGTGCTACAAATGCATTTTTCGTTTTTGAATAATGCATTTTAAAACTTTAAAATATTTATTTTAAGTGTAGCGAAAGACAGTTAGATTTAAACATATATACATTTTTTCTGTAGGTAAAATCTTTGAATGAAAAATGATATTTCACATCTCATTTTATTATCTGTTTTGACACAATTATATCCAATTCAATCGGCATAAAATGAATTTAAAGGTGAATTTACTTTACATTATATACTGGCATGCGAGTAGTTCCCGTACAAAAATCGTAGGTACTTAAAACAAACTTTTTTATTATGATCACTCGCCAAAAAAATTGAATGTTACACATCAGTATTCGGCTCGTCCCACATATTATGGAAATTCCATTATGTTCTAAACATGGAATAAACCTTAGTTATAAGGCGTCATATAGGATACCGAAATTATCCATTAATGTGTATGAAGAGAAGTAGTTCCCGTACATAAAATTGATACTGTTACAGTAGAGTAAAATACCTTCGGTCTGTAAAAGGTATTATTATAATATTATACAGTCTGAAGAGACAAATTGATAAAAATAAATGATCAAAAATAAAGCTCGTTTTCTGTGAAAGTATTTTGGAGTGAATACATGTAAAAATGACTCTTTGAGACAAGTTCATTAGTGTCCAAATATGTGCAACAACTACTATATTCCCATACAGCCACAATATAACTTAAGTAAAATGACTCTTTTAGACAAGTTCATTAGTGTTCAAATATGTGCAACAACTACTATATTCCCATACAGCCACAATATAACTTAAGTAAAATGACTCTTTGAGACAAGTTCATTAGTGTTCAAATATGTGCAACAACTACTATATTCCCATACAGCCACAAAATAACTTAAGTAAAATGACTCTTTGAGACAAGTTCATTAGTGTTCAAATATGTGCAACAACAACTACATTCCCATACAGCCACAATATAACTAAAGTGAAAGTGACTCTTTTAGACAAGTTCATTAGTGTTCAAATATGTGCAACAACTACTATATTCCCATACAGCCACAATATAACTTAAGTAAAAATGACTCTTTTAGACAAGTACATTAGTGTCCAAATATGTGCAACAACTACTATATTCTTATACAGCATCAATATAACTTAAGTAAAAATGACTCTTTTAGACAAGTTCACAAGCGTCCAAATATTTGCAACAACTACTATATTCCCATACAGCCACAATATAACTCAAGTGAAGCGTTAATATGGGAAATAAATGTGTTGGGATAGAAACTGCTTTTTCCCAAATAATTGCTTAATCGTAATACAGTCGCAATATAAATTAAGTGAGCGTTGGCGTTAATATAGGGTTAACGCACGTTTTTCCGTGTTATAACGTCTGCAGAGTCCCGAGGAATTGTTGGTGCCCGAGCCCGGTAGGGCGAGGGTTCCAACTGTTCCGAGGTATACATGTTTTACGTGTGCGTTTTATTTTGCCGGGGCCAACAACTTGGGAGATACTTGTAAATGCTCGGAACCGAACGAAATTTCGAATTAAATTGATTAATAAAGCTAAACATTGGAGATTTATTTACTCAAGAAAAAAACCCATTAAAGTACTTTACCCAAGACAAAACATTACCCTCAGATATTCCTAGAATGGTTTCAGATTGACGGTAGAAAAATATCAGTGACATCAGATTTTTTTTTCCAAGCACACAAGTTTATGAAAAAATCAGGCACTAAACATAATTCTCTCAAAGAAATATAAAGAGCATTTATCAATATAAACATCAATAAAACAACATTTTCTCATATTCAGCGCTTGACTATGTTAACACATGGTTTTGGTCCCGTTATAACATGGGCAAAAGAGGGAAAAATAGCCGATTTTATGCTATAATCTGGGAAATAAAAGTACAAGAATGCTAGAAACCCTGTAAGCGTGGATTTCAACATCTACATTTTGCTGAAAACAGGACCTTTACTGTGGGTTTGATACCCTATAAGTCATTGTATCCGATAATCCGAGCCTTAGGTTGGAGACGGGGATGCAATCGATTTGTACATTAAATAAACATCATTAATATATCTACATTCTTTGAGGAAAAAACATAACAAAACGGAAGAAAGAAAAAAAACATACGTGACTGGTATGATATAATCGTAGTATACAAAACATTAGAGATTAAAACACTTGCTTGAATGACAGCTTTCCGTTTTTAAGATTTGTCTAGTGCTTCAAGAGGTACTACTAAATCAATTAAGGATTGTTTAATATAAACATAACCATTGGATAATCATTATACGGTTTTCCAGTAACTACCGTGCTTGACAGCCTACCAAACTAGTATGTAATGGTTGATCCCAAAGAACTCCGATCACTCATTCTTATTTCTTGGTTATTTAAAAATTATTCTAAAATTATGACCATAAGCAGTTTATATAAGAAATAACCGAGTTTTTTATCTCTTTAATTCTTGCTAAAATACACTGAAAATTCATACTACGCATCGACATATGACCTTATTTTATTTTTCTGGTATTTCATAGTTATTACATTTCATGTTATTTCATACATTGTTACGCGTTGTTTCTTACTTCCTATATCGTCATGATATTTAGAAGTAATCGAAATGAATTATACAAGAATAATGTTGGTGGGTTTTTTCTCCAAATTATTATACACATATACATTTTTATTATAATTATATAATTCTTACATTGTAACAACATACTTTTCTCAATTAAGTATTCTACCCGCCGTGCAGCTGTATATTGGGGATGAACATTGTATATGTTAAGACCAAATATATGTTGAACTAAATTTGTTTAAGTTGTATAGAACTCATTGTTCAAAATTAAAATGTTTGAAATATTTGAAGCTTACAAGCTGATTCACATATAGTAGAGTCATATATGATAGTACTTGACTGACAGTACTTGACTGACAGTACTTGAAAGTAATTGGTGGTTAAATTATCATGACATGCCATTCATTTTTTTTCTTTAATTAATGTGAATTAATCTATCTCCACGAACACTCGGAAGAAGGATGTGAATTTTAACGATGAATTGAAGATTTTTTTTTCTATAAGAAATAAATAAAGAGACAATGCTGTTTTCTTGTAACTGTGTTTTCGGTTGTCTATTTTAACATGAATTTCATTAATCATTATCTTGTATTCGTCAGAAATTCCAGACACTATCTTAAATTATTATGTAAAATTTCCCATTATTTGTAATTTCCCATACTTTGATGATACAAGTTCTGGGCAAAATAAGCCAACATGTATAATGCCTTGACAGTATTTCATTCAACTCTAGAGTTTACATGTTTACATATTTTTAATGGTACATCACAGCATTTTATTACATTTTATTGTTCATGTTCTCTAAACTATTTATTGTACCCATTTCAAGTGTAACCATCCCTTTTAACTGGGTAACCTGATATGAGTGGAAGGTTCACAAACGCATGATGAAGAGTTGCTGCACAAAGAAAGAAAGAAAGAAAGAAAGAAAAAAGAAAGAAAGACAGATAAATAGAACAGAGACTAAGCGAATCTATTTTAGTACAATGAATAAATTAGGTATTTTTAAAGTTGTTGACATACTTATAATCTCATATATGACCTGCAAAAAGTACTGTTGAAAATTTTACATTTTAAAGCTTAAGGAGGTCGATAAAAGAATCTCCTTTGGCTTCTTAACAATATAATTATTTTCTATAAAGTCTCAGTAAAATGTTTCAATAAGAAATGAATGCATATATTTTAATGACTACGTATGATATGGACAAATATTTGCAGTGCATATTTTACATTTTCTCCGGTGTTTTGAAAGTTGTTTTATAAGCATAATTATATACATAATATATAAAATTTCACTTAAGTGTGGTAACAACCTCAATTACAACATACAGGATCTTTAAAAGATATTTCAGACGCAGATGTAAGACAGGATTAAGCAGAAACCCACATTTTACATATTTAGTAAAAAGGTAGGAAAACTACTCTTACTTCCCGATATAATTAAATGGAAACCAGATTACGAATATTCCGAGTAAAGGAAGAAAAGGAAGAAAAACTTGACTAAAAATAGATTAGAAGTCCTCCACTTCAACCTATAAATACGTATTCCTATGACAGTGCATCTCAAAACACAAACACGAGCTGTAAGAGCGACAACTTTAAAAAATCAACAATATAATAAGGTAACCTTTTTATTTATCATTTTTAAAAAAAATTAAATTTTTTAATGTAAAAGATTAGTTACTGTAATCGTTTTAATGAAATACTTATAAATATCATATTTTTAACACATTCAAATATAATTAAAATAATTAAATTTAACTTTTTGAACCATTCTTTAAATTAGTTAACAAACAATTCGATACTTGAGGTTGATCAAATCATTCATGAAATAAAACGTGTATTACAATTTTATAACAGATGACATATCTTTGTACAGTCATTTAACACACTTTTTATTTAAAATAGCTTAAAAAAAAATCTTTCTTGTTGCGAGCTTGTCTGGGATTAGTGCACGTTAATGTATACTCTAGTCATGCCTAATTTGAATTCCTTTGCTTTTTCGTCACCTTAATTAATATTACAGCAAACTTAAATGTAAAACCCTCTTTTGATTATAGTATAGCAAACGGAGAATTATATACATTTAGCCATACACAAAAATAATGACAATTCAAATGGCAAAAGAAATGATATCTAATTAGCAGTTCATTGATATATTTAACCTTTGAACTGGTGAAATTATGTTATTGAAACGTTTGCCAAACTTTAAATTTGGATAAGTCCAATTGGGTTTTAGGGAATTATTATTAAAATACAAAAAGCAAAATTAAGTATTATAAATCCTGGTCAAACGGCACGGATATATGCTCGCCCGGCTGAACCGTAATGGCAAAAGCTAATCTTTTCGGTTCCAGCAGGTTAACTGATGGGCAAATTAATACATTTCTTCCAATCAATATATTATTTAATCAAGGGTATTCTGATTGTATCAACAAATCCTTTTTACTCCAGGAATTGAAACAGGCAGGAAAGAAGACGAAAGAACTTCTTCACAGTTACACCTTTGAACGTGTAAAAATGCATCTTCTCGGTGGGATAAAATTCATAATGGTGTCAGCAATGTTGCTGCTGTCGCTTTTAACCGACACAAGTGCTCGCCAGTTTAATGCTTGTCGGGAAAATGCAAGAACGGGCACGTGCGATGACGTCAAAATGAGAAGTATAGGACCATATAAATATGAGATAGGTCTATGTAAGGGAATCTACGGTGGACAGTGTCTTCGGTTACCGGATAAGAAATGTTCCTGCTTAGGAAAGAAAGTATAAGAAACAAAATGACCATGTTTTTTCCCTTTTTTTATACAATTTTGCACATTCGTAAAAAGCTTATAGACTGAAAAAGAAGGAATGTATGATTTTTATACTTATCACACTTATGATTGAAAGCTTATCTTTTCTTATTTTATATGATCAAGAAAATCAGCGATTATGTCAACAACAAGATGTTACATGAAACGAAAATACCAAGAATGTTACAAACAGAGACGTATTGACATTGAGGTCGACATCGTTCTGTATCAAAGATGCTTCAGTTGTTATTTTGTTTAGTAAAAATTCTCGAAAAGCGAGATTCCTCGAATGCGACGAATTTCAAAACATTTCTTTCTAATATTTTAATCTTTACTATGTTAAACAGAATAATTTGATCATAAAATCTACATTTATATTTGACCTCAAATTATACTTTAAACTTCCCTTAAATTGTAAGTTTAGGTGAGAATGAGTCAACTATTATGTACATTTGTATTGCTACACTATTAAGCATAGGCCCGTAAGTGTTTTTTCTATAGCAAGTTAAACATGTATATCAATTTTCAGCCAGAATTATTTAAATATTGCAAAGTTATTTAAACAATTCAATTTTCATTCTAACAATATATCATTTTGATATTTGTGGTCTTGTTGTTTTCTTTTTTATTGTCTCCTTACGTAGGTCAGATATTATGTTTTTTTTTCCACCTAAAATTACATGCACATGATATTATATGTAATGCAATGCACATATTGTATGTTTATATTAAAAAAAACTTTCGAATCATTATATCTTGATATACTTTTTCATGCCCTTAATAGTCTATAGTTTCCACTCAGAAGACGAAGCATAAATCACTATAAATGATATCTAAACGCAATGAGCATAAAATTGCTCGCAAATGAAGAAATTCAATAGTCACGTTTTGCCTGTTGAATGCCAAGTTAACTGAACATAATATACAATACAATTATATGTTCAATAAATTCACCAAAGCATGAAATTGTTCAAGGCTTTTGCAACCCCGGAAAAATTTCTCGACTGGACAGATTTGTACTTTTACGAGGTATGATAAAAAAAGTTCTCGGCCCGATAAACTTCTAAGCAGCTACACTGACATTTACACATGATACGTTGATACCAATATCTTATTGAAGATCACTGACCGAGTTACACGCGGTTTTACACATATTAAGTAACATAAAACACACTTGGATCAGTAGAGGGATTTGTCATTTAGACCAAATGGAGATAGTTGAAATCAGAACTGTCATTAATTACCTCTGTAAGAAATGGATGTCCCTCAAGAAATCCATGAAGACTTCATGGGGAGTTCCCTTCCTATAGCACTGTAAAACAAGAGCCCTGTTTGAACCGGTTGATGCTCCCCGAATAGGTTTTGAACACAGGAAAGTACACCTCTTGTAGTTTCAGAGTTATGTCCCTAGACAAAGTTCAAAGTGTGATAGTTCCAGAATTAGGCAAGGCACAGTAACTATTCTTTGCACTGGACTTCTAATAAATAAGATCTTTCCACTTACAAAGATTTTTGTTGATATCTCTTATGCTTTCTGAGTTATGTCCTGGACAAAGTTTAAAATGTAAGAATGAACAAAGGGCAATCACTCCAAAATAATCCAAGGCAGAGTTATGCTTCGTATGCAATGCACATCTACCCATTATGATCTCTCTACCTAAAAGTTTCATGTTGATATCTCCTATATTTTTAGAGTAATGTCCCGAACAATTCTTTTCTAAGAGGAGAGATAATTCAAAAAAGGGGCTTAGCAGAGTTATGGTTCTTTTGCACTGCATTTCTACCTATTGAGATCTATTTACCTACAAAAATTCATGTTGATATCTCTTATAATCATAGATGTATGTTCCGGAAAAAGTTCAAAGTGTAAAAAATAAACAAATGGCAATTACTCTAAGATTAGGCAAAGCAGTGTTACGACTCTTATGCACTGCACATCTACTCATTGAGATATATCTACCTACAAAGATTCATGTTGATATCTCTTATAGTTTTAGAGTTATGTCCCGGACAAGATTTTTCTAAAAGGGAAGATAATTCGAAAACGGTGCAAAATAGAGTTTTGGTTCTTTGACACTGCACTCCGCCTCAATGCCCTCTACCACTGTGTGAAGTTTAAATAAATTATCTCATAGGGTTTTAAAGTTATGCTTCGGACAAGACAACGGACGGACAGAAGGGACAGAAGGCGGACAGACGGACAAGGTGGCGACTATGTGCTCTCCCTTCGGGGAGCATAAAAATGGGCTGCTGAACTGAAGAGGGGCACGGATGGCATGAGATGATGAGCAGCTTGGGTGGCCAAAAGAGGCCAACAACGATCAAACTGTCGAAACTGTGCACAATCTGGCCGCGTGCGACAGAAGGCGAGACCTGCGAAGCATTGCTAGGGATGTGGGTACAGTATAAGCTTTGGTTCAGTTCAGGCAATTCTGACTGAAGCCTATGGCATGTCAAAGGTTTCCGCTAGATGGGTCCCCAGACAGTTGACTGACGACCGAAAACGGACCAGGCTTGACATACATTTCAAGATATCTTGTCTCGCTACGAGGATGAACCTGATTTTCACAACCGGATCGTAACTCAGGATGAAACATGGGTCCATCACTTCGATCCAGAATCCAAAACAAAAACAGAGCATGCAGTGGAAGCACCCTGTCTCACACCATCCGAAGAAATTCAAGAAGGTGCCATCAGCAGGGAAGATGATTGCTTCAATTTTTGTGATAGTCAGGAAATAATCTTGATTGACTATCTTGAGTAAGGTCGTACAATAAACGGTATGTACTATGCAGGCGAATTGAGACGTCTGCGTCAAGAAATCGCGCGTAAAAGAAGGGACAAACTTACTCCTGCACGACAATGCGCCAGCTCACACATCCCAAGATGCGATGGCTGCTGCAACTAACTGCGGCTTTGAAATTCTTCCTCATTCATTTTCTCCGGACTTGGCCCCCTCTCTGACTTCTACCTGTTTCCAAAACTGAAAACCAAGCTTCGTTGTAGACGTTTTGGAAGCAAAAAAGGTGTCATGGAGGCGGTAAATGAGTTTTTGAGGACCAAAATAGAGAGTTCTATTTTGAAGGGTTAAACAAGTTGGACCACAGATGGGCAAAGTGCATTGATGTAGAGGGCGATCATATTGAAAAGTAAGACCATTAGTTTGGTTCTCTGACTACCGGAAGAACATCGGGCCAAGAACTTTTTTATCAATCCTCGTACAATGTATATCTATATTTTACAAGAACAGTTTATGTGCCCCAACTTTAGGGGTGGCATTTAGATTTACCCTTGTCCGTCCGTCCATCCGTCCGTCCGTTCTTTTTTGTGTCGCACGTAGCTTAAAAAGTATTTTAAACTTTATAGAAATATTGATCTGCATGTGTAGTTGTGCACCTGGGTATTTTCGTGTGGATATATTTAATACTTTCAGAGGTATTTTCCCTTGGCTTAGTAAAATTTTGCAATTTTTAACTTGTGTCGCACGTAACTCAAAAAGTATTTGACCTAGTGTCATGAAACGTTACAGGAATGTTGATCAGCATGTGTAGTTGTAAAGTTATTGCCCTTGACTTAGTAAAAATTTTCAATTCGCATATATCTCAAAAAGTGTTTGACCTAGAGTCATGAAACCTTACAGGAATGTTGCTCGGAATGTGTAGTTGTGAATCTGGGGTTTCACTTTAAGATTTTTCTGTAATGTCAGCGTTATTTCCCTTGACTTAGTAAATATTTGCAATTTTCAACTTGTGTCACATGTAGCTCACAAGTAATTGACCTAGAGTCATGAAACTTTACAGGATTGTTGATCAACATGTGTAGTTGTGCACCTGGGTATTTTCGTGTGGATATGTTTAATATCTTTAGAGTTATTGCCCTTGACTTTGTTAAAATTTACTATTTTCAACTCATATCGCACGTAACTCAAAAGTATTTGATCTAGTGTCATGAAACTTTACAGGAACGTTGCTCAGCGTGTGAAGTTGTGCACCTGGGGTTTCACTTGTGGATTTATTCTGTTTTGTCAGATTTATTCCCTTGACTTAGTGAAAACTGTTCCATTATGTTGTGTTTTTGTTCCTCGAGTGCTTGAGCTAGAATCAACCAACTTTTCAGGAATAATGATCAAAATCACTGTGAAGCTATGCACCTGGGGTTTTGCGTGTGGATTTTTTTATTCAGTTTTGTTAGAGTTACTGTCCTTGACAAGTATTAATTTGCAATTTTCAACTTGTTCATGCATAACTCAAAAACTATTTGACCTGTAGGTATGACAATTTACAAGAATGTTGGTCAGACATGTACTTATTCACCTTGGGATTTGCTTGTGGATTTATTCAGTATTTGGAAAGTTCTTGCCCTTGACTTAGTAAACGATTTTTAGTTTTACCTTGTGACACATGTAGCCTAAAAATATTTGACCATAAGTCATAAGATAGACAAAACAGTGGAGTGTTGAATAGTTAAATAGTGATCTTTTACGACATCAGTAATACTAAAGTAGCATTGATTTTGTCTGTAAGAGATAGCAAATGGCACTAATAATCTAAAAGGCAAATCAAATTGGGTGTCTTCTCTTTCCGATAACAAAAACAAGTGTCGAGCGTTTTTTTTATTACGATCACTCACCAAAGAATTGAATGTTTCACATCAATATTCGACTCGTCCAACAATTTATGGAAATTCCATTATGTTCTAGATATAAAATAAAGTTTAGTTATGAGGCCTCATATGGGGTCCCGAAATTATCCATTATTTTGTATGAAGAGAAGTAGTTCCCGTACATAAAATATAAAACAATAAAGTAAATTTTAACGTACGGATATTTGATACTCTAATATCTTCTGTAAAAAGTATTATTATATTCAGTCTGAAGCGACAAATTGATATAAACAAAAATAAAGCTCGTTTTCTGTGAAAGTATTTAGGAGTGAATACATATAAAAATGACTCTTAAGACAAGTTCATTAGTGTCCAAATATGTGCAACAACTACTATATACACAAAAAGCGACAATATAACTTAAGTGAGGCGTTAATATGGGAAATAAATGTGTTGGAAAGCTAGAAACCTGGCAGACACTGCTTTTTTCCAAATAATTGT